GACAAAAAAGACTATATTGAGAAAATGAACAACATCTTGTCAGATAAAACAAAATTTTCGCAACCACCCAACGAAAGAAACAAAACAGAACTGATTGAAAAGCAACTCACCGATGTCCTGAAAAGAATGCAAACCCAAAAGTTAATCACTCATGAAGTGTATGATCAGATCCGACCGACAGGGTCAACAATACCAAGACTATATGGCTTACCGAAGATACATAAAGCCAACCTCCCACTTCGTCCAATTCTGGATATGTCAGGTTCCCCGTACCATTCAATAGCGAAATGGCTCACTGACATTTTAGAACCTGTACGAAAACGAATGTGCCACTATTCACTTCGTGACACTTTCCAATTCGTCGATTACATTAAAGATATCAATACAAAGAACAAAACTATGCTCTCCCTCGACGTTGAATCACTATTTACCAACGTTCCACTCACGGAAACTGTCTCTTATATTTGTCACTATATCGACGAAAATCAGCTGGACATCGGATTACCGACGACCTGTTTAAAAGAACTACTACTGAGATGTACACTCAATGTCCAATTCACATTCAACGACATTATTTACAGACAACAAGATGGAATCGCAATGGGATCTCCACTGGGCCCATTACTATCAGACTGCTTCATGGCAAGCCTCGAGAACGGCCCACTCAAATCAACCATCGACAATTTCCAATTGTACGTTAGATATGTTGACGACATCTTTATCATCTGTGATGACGATCACAATCTCAATCAACTACTACAAATATTCAACAAATGCCATCCAGCCACAAAGTTCACTTTGGAAACTGAAAACGAATCAAAAATCCCTTTTCTTGACGTAGAGCTTACAAGGAGAGATGACGGAACTTTAAGAAGGTCAATCCATAGGAAACCGACTTGGAACGGACAATTAACAAGTTTCTACAGCTGGGTACCAATCAGTCGGAAAAGAAACTTAATTAAATCCCTTGCAACTCGCGTCAGACGCATCTGCAGCTCCGACACCATGGAAGAAGAACTAAACCTCCTGAGGGAAATCTTCATACAAAATGGCTACCCACCAAGATTTGTAGACAAAAACATCAAACAGAAAAACCAAAAGCAAGAGACAGCATCCGTGCCAAAAAAGATACTTTATATGAACCTAGATTTCAAAGGAGACCTACTTAGTGACGTCCTCAGAAGGAGAATTTCCACCTCTTTAGGAAGAACTTTCCCTGCGGCAACACTAAGAATAGTGTTCTCCAGTCGCCCGCTGATCTGCAGAAACCCAAAGGACAAGATTCCGCACATGACCACTTCTATGTGTATATATCAGTTCACCTGTTGCTGTGGAGCCAGATACATTGGTCGTTCAACGCGCATCCTGTCAAAAAGGGTCAAAGAACACTACCCAGCGTGGCTACAGAAAGGAAATAATGGCCATATAAGGAGTGCAATAATCGAACATCTAGTCAACACTGGTCATTCCATCTCAACGAACGCCTCCTTTAAAGTGATCTACAAAGTGAAGAACAACCTCCCAAAGACAGTACGATTTCGTCTTCTTTGTATCGCAGAAGCCCTAGCCATCCAGTTGGTTGAACCAGAACTATGCATACAAAAGAAAATTATCCAACCACTTCTACTCGCATGGTAACAACTCCGTTGATTTGACCCATCTCTTCTTTGTTTGTTTGACCTGACCTTACTTCTGTTTGTATGCTTATTTTTTCTAACTTAAAACCCTTGTGTAATTCTATATATTATTTTGTTTCCATGCACAACCTTTGAGTACAACTCATTCATCAAACTATTCTTACCATTACGTAACTCTTATTTAACAATCATTTATGACAACTCATCACTTTTGTTACTACCCTCTTATATGAACATCCAATTCACCTAAACTTACTCCTCTTTAACAATCGTTTTGACAACTCATCACTTTTGTTGCTATCCTCTTATCAACATCCAATTCATTTGAACTTACTAACCGTATTTTGTTTGACAAACTTAATGTATACACACACACACACAAAATAACCATATATATTTGCGATTGTACAGCTTTGAAAATGAATTCGCCGAAAAGAGACTCTTTGCTGAACTACTTGTCTTTTGTCTACTAATGTCCGAATGGGAATTATTCATGAAAGAAATTATTGATTGTAAGTTTTCTATTTTTAACGATCGTCATTGCGTTGCTATTTCTGTCTCCTTTGTTTCTTTTGTAATGTTTCTGACTGTTTTCGGTAAGTGAAGTAACAGGAAAGAGGTGATAATGTTTTTGTTTTTATCTTAGAAAATAAAATAAGTGATTGTTTTGTTTTGTAGCTTGTGCGCAAGGTGCATTGTATTCCTGTCCGTTTTGTTACTTGACTACTTCTCGTTGCTAAGGTTATTTTGTCCGTGAGAGTATATGAGATGGTCACCAGTGCCTCAGTGTGTGTGTGCGTGTGTTCGTGTGTCTGTGTAGGGGTGGATTGAGAAGAAGGAGGAAACTGTTGAGTTATTCTGTTTGTAAAAATCAGTTAGTATTAGTTTTCTGTCCAAAGTTTACCGCCTGTGGCTGTTGTCGTTATTTATGCATACATAGTTAGTCAGTGAGTGAACTGCGTTAGTTATGCGTGTTACACTTGACTGACTGGGTTGGCCAAGTCAAGTGTGACAATTCAACTGTGGAACTATTATGACAACATTATTATTCTGTTTGTTGTTCCTACTTCCTTTTATGTATGTATTTGTGTGTGTGCCTGAGTGTCAGTGTATGCACAACACATATTGGCGTATACTTGTTTCTGTGTTTCTATGATGTTTAACCTGTCTATTTACGTATTTTAACTTCCAGCATAGCAAACTCAGCGATTGTGTCTGTGTCTGCGTGTGTGCGCATCTATGTTTATTAAGTAGTTGTAATACTAATATTAATAATGATATAATAATAATATATAATAAGATGGAAGCAGTTAAGATGTAGATAAGTAGAGGCTGTGAGGAAGTTAGAGATTGAGAGAGCGACACAGTCAATGGTATTTTGTTTCCATCGTTCCAGTTTAAATTACATCCCTCCTTGTTTTTTCTTTTTCTGTTGCCTGTGTGAATCCATCCACCTTGTTATAAAAGATCAACTCTTTCTTTGTTGTATTTCACAGTTAATTTTCCGTTAATTTTGTTTCACTTCTGAGTTTCTTATATATTTTTTGTTCAGTGTTCTTTCTATTGAAGAGAATACCAATTGTAATCAATGTTTGCTTGATTTTGTAGAAGTGGATTGTCAATGACAGAAGAGAGAGGGGGAGAGTTCTGTTTGCTCCTTATCAACTTCAGGAATAAATTCTTTTAAGTACTGTTTAGAAAGGTGGGATAGAGATGATCTACATGAGTCTAGCTAGAGAGTAGTGAGAATAACTTTTCTTCAACGAGGTTTGTTTGTGTTTACTTGTAGACGACGAGGTTACTGTGTCTAGAGAATGAAGCAGTAATGTTGTCATTCGATTCTGACGTAACTGCAGAATTTTTAGGTGAATGACGATAGCATCTTGTCTTGTAGAAGACTGTTTTGTCAGTGAGTATTATATCCACAGCAACGAATAGGGTCATTTTAATGAGGGTATAGTAAATGTGTGGTAAAACGCGAATGAATGGTTATGTTTTGGCATAACTTGAGTCAGCGATATCGTTTTTACTCACCAACTCCATAGTCTTTTTAATCGAACGTAAATGTACAACTTTAATCTACAGAACACAAGCTGTCTATCTGAAGTGAATTCAATAGCACCCTTATTTGAAGAAAAGAGATTGTGATAAATGTGTGATCATGTATTGGATTTTTGGAGAGTTAATCTAAACGGACGTGTGTGTGCGTGTATGTGTGACACTGTTCGTGGTAGAAGTGAAACGAAAGCTTCTTAAAGGCAGGCTGACAGAAATTCTTGTCAGTGATATTTGAGCAGTAGTGGGTGACGAAGTCTAGTAAACGATATAATATCGGATCACCTATGCAATAGAGTATGCACTATGATGTAGCTTATTGTTATTTTGGATATGGTTAGTGAACTCGACAATTACGTGAAGATTAGAAGATTTCTGTTGTATGTACCTTGGTTGATGCTTTTTGAGAAGAGGTGATTTATTCTGACTGACTTACTGCTCTTGAGATTTCAACTACACAGTTTCATTTTCTATTCAGTTCGATTGATGGGTGGTGTTGTTTAGGAGGAGGTAGGTAGGCGTAGTAAATGTGGCATGTTTTTCAGCGGGGATTGCTGTGTGAAATGGAATCGTTACACGAATAGTGGTGATATTACAAATGTGTTGTCTAAGTAGGTCCTGATGTCAGTTGATGAAGTGGTTGATACATGCTTCTTTCTATTCCTACCCATGAGGCTTCCAATAATTGACGTATTCAAGCTAATATGATTTATAGTCAGCTAAAGCAACATAGATGGTATTCCGTCAGTATGTTTAGCTTTACTTTGAGTTTCCTTTCGGTTGTGTCATATCTTTGAATTTCCTTATTGTATGGCTCAAAAGCGTTTGTTTTCTACGCTTTTCTGTACATTTGTGAAGTATGTAAAGTTGAAGTGGTGCATTATTGTGCAGAGTAGTTCTTTGGAAATTCAGTTCGTGCATAAGAATAATGTAAGCGTGAGGATGGATGGCGTTTTGTGCTGTTACGGTGCAGAGAGGTACTGTTTGGAATTTGTCTATGCAAATAGGTTTTGTGAAAATGTTTACTGCTGGTGCTGCTGTTGCTGACGATTGATCGATTGATAGCCAGTTAGTTGTCATGCAGGAATATATGGATTCATAGGATTCTGTTCCCTCCTTGCAGTCATCTAGATGACAGTCCGGTGTGTATCTGGGTTTGTTTCCGCCTTTGTAGTGATGACATTCATTCTCGTTATGTATGTATGCATGTATGCCATATGATCATTGGTATTCTTTTGTTTAAACATTCTTCTTCTTCGTTTACAGTGTGTGTTGTTACTTAATGATTGTGTTTTATTTTGTGTTCAGCTATTTTAACTTACGGTCAATTACAACGAATCCGATCAGCATGTGAGTTGTTCACCTTTTAATCATCTAAAGTGTTAATTTCGAATTGATTTTCTTTTTGTTGTGAAACTGTTAATCAGGATATCTGGTGTACTTGGGTGAATGAGATAGTTTTGACAGTGGACGGCACACCTGGCCCTGTTGGCCTAGATTTTGTACAGGATCGATTAGTTGATGCAATTGACTGACTTTCTATCAGTATGTCGTGAGCTGGTAGGTGACTACATCGATCACTGTGAATGAATCAGGTCACGAAAAAGAGACACTTGAATGGACTACTTGTCATTCTCTTTTCATATATCCTAGTCACAAGAGTGGTGCAAAATTTGATTAAGAGGTTGAATACACATGGTCAAGTTGTTGGTGTTACAGTGTGTGCGTGTGTAAATGAGAATTTACTGTTCAAAGTTTGTGAAGTAACTAAAAGGGATGATGTTTACGAATCGAATACCGCGGTGTTGGTTTTCGTCTGAACAACTAAGTAGTATCACAAAGTGAGCGTTGTTGATTGGAGGCAGGAGTTTACTTCTGTCTTTCTAGTTGTGTCAGTAATACCTTTTCTGATATTCATAACAGTAATATAAGTGAAATCGTTCATGCTGATGCCGAAACTGAATTATGACTGACAGATTAAGAGACCAACTGAATGGAAATATCACCGACGAGTGTGATGAGTCTTTGAGTAGTCAATGTATTTTGTTTCTAAACTGAACTCGTGACTTTGTTCCATTCCCTTATCCAGTGGGTCTCCATGTGTCCAATTCACTATTCCGTCAGTAGGCATATCTTTACTAAAGAAGTGTTCTGACACAGTTATGCTCAATCTGCAATTGTGGTTTACTGTTACTGTCTTGAGTGGTTACATCTTAGTGCGGATAAATAAAAACAAGTAGATTTTTGTGAAACTGTAGAAAGTCTTTGCTTTGATTTGTGCAGTATTTCTGTGGATCGTATGTGATACACACCACCCCTGTCACTGTGGATTACTTCATATAACATTTTTATTTGCCAATGTTGTTGACATGTTGTGCATGCAGCACATATTCAGGGTCAGGGACAATTTACTATCCATCAGCTTCCAAACTCTTGTATGAATTGATTATTTGCAAGTCGGCTGATATAACATACATTGAAAGTATGAAGATAATAATAGTGTGGTGGTGTGATACACACAATGTGTTCCAACGGAATGTTATTCTCACATATTCCCACAGTTGGACACTGCGTTAGCAACAGAATACTTAATGTGTTTTAACATTATATTTCATGTCGTTTAACGTCAACCAATACCACACGCTCAGTGATTGGTGTGAAAGAATATAAACTGCATAGATCTGATTAACTGTTTGATCACTTGGAAATATACCTTGACTTCTGTGTCTTGCCTTCTGATGTTACAATCGGATCTGTTAACGGAAGCAGATTTCGTGAGTTTGCGTATTAAGATACTTGACAGATTATGCCTGAAAAGTGAACCTACGTTGAGCATGATTCTGTTGAGTTCGCCAATGTCTGAATTGTATGCTCTACACTGGTCATATGGCCAGTAGCTATCACATTTATTGTATCCTATGATATAAGAACTGCTTTCGTTATTCTATTGAAGTATCTGTTTAGGAAAAAAGTGAGGAGTCTTTTCTGTAGTTTGATGACATTATGAAAACTCTTCGAAAAGGACACTGTGAGTATTTATAAGCGTTTACAATATCGTTGTGAAGAACGTTGCTTTATTTTCAAATCTATGACATTGGTGAATACTGAGAACATGCATTCACTGGATTTGTGTTGTGTTGTGTTTTGTTGTGTTAACTTAGTATTTAGACAGTTGAAGACGAAATCTGGAAGGATTTTGACTCGAGTAGATGAAGATGAAACTTTACAGAAATAGTTTTGATCCATGTTGAGCTATTTTGAAACAGCGAAGTCTTTCCTCCGAGTAGAAAGTACAGAGCTGGGACTGCGATATGTCTCAGTGAGCAGCTGAGATTTGCAGGAGAGTACAAAAAAGTTAGATAGAAGTTGGGGAGTGTATGTTGAGGATTTTGTAAATGATAGAGTGTAGATGTGTTGGTGCCATGGTGAACGGATTTCAGCTGTGTGATTAAGATTGTACAAGCATGACTTCGTCAGTTAAGTAATCAAGCTACTCCTCACATTGTTCAGACCAGTACTAACTAGTCAACGACTTCATTGATTATCCTTGTTTATCAAAATGGAGACAGGTTGTCCTGTGATAGTTGTACAAGGATTAGCTAGACTAACATACTATGTAAATCTTTTGGTTGAGTAGTCACGCGTAGACCGCTTGGCGTTCGAGAGATGCAAACCAGTAAAAAGTGACCAGGCCTTTAGGTTGTAAGCAAGTACACTAATGACAGTGTCCGTCCTTGCTAGACTCTTGACAATAGACATACTTGCCGGTACCCAACACTCGGCATCTTTCGTGACCTCCAGGTATCAAGCTTTTGACTGCATTGACTGAGCGGTGCCATAGCAATGTTTAACCGTGGAGAGAGTATCGCACTTATAAAGCTATTCTACTCGAACTCACTTAGTCGTGATGGAGCTGACGGGAAGATTTCATCTGAAATGAGGTGCTCTGTGTCTCCATTGTGTATAATTTCATCATGGACGTACTAACGGATGTGAATCTAATCTACTGACTACAGCGAATTAGGCAAGAGTCTCGTCGACGTAGGGTATGCGGATGATATTTGCCTCCTGGGTGAAGATATGGGCAAAATGCTGTCTTTTAACTACTCTGAGCCAAAGTTCTGCCATGTTTAACATGTGATTCGCCTGTCGTATGTAAGATGATACTGCGGTAGTTATTTGCGACGACTCCTAGTTTCAAGATGAAGAGTAAAGTGGTGGAGTGTGCTAACCACTTGACTTATTTGGGAAGTCTTATCAGCTGTAATGGACTGATCGGTGACTAAATTTCAGCAAGAACTCAATTTACTTAGTCTCTTGTGTAGACGTGATGATTGGCCATCAATGAAATGCTGTGTGTATATGCAGCAGTGCACTCTGTCCTTCCTCATTGCTGTGAGACATAGGAGTGAGATGTGGAATGGATGAAGAGGTTAGCTTCCTTTAATCACAAATGTTTGCGTTCTTTTTGTCATTTTCAGTTATATGAAATATGGTGGGTAAATATTAAGGTTAGACTTGTAGCGTGAAGGTGGGAGAATCAGTCTATGAGGTTGTGAAGCTGAGTTGATTGGGATGTCTAGGGCACTTGTTATGCATAACGGGCCTTCACTTTTCTCGTCGTGGAATGTTAGGTGACAGAGGATTATGTTGGGATGGTTAAATCGAAACACGTCGTTATTGCATGAATTCTTTGACTGTTGGTTTATCGACGAAGGTGGTTTGGGGTGGAGTTGGGAGTGGGGGCCGTGGGAATTGTAGAACTTGATAGTTTGAGACTGTTGGTGATATTGTAACAACAGAAGACAAGGGCCAGGCAACAGAACGTTTATTACGGAAAATCAACACGTATTTATAGGTTTCGATGTACATTATTGTAGGTTAATGTTAGTAGAAAATACAGTCTGTTGATTGGTTGTTTCTCACACAAAGTTAACCTTGCATCTCTTGTGGCTGTGTCTGTTCATTTATATGTTAACTGTATCCGCCTGTCCATCTTGACCTTTGACCTCAATTACTGTCAACTAATTTGGCTAGCAACCATCTCTCACCACAATATAACTCAAAATTGTGTCATATCTCAGATTCATTCACTTTTGGTGGTCCTCGTGTCTCTCCATGTACTTGTTGTTTCTCCTGTCGATTTCCACTGACTGTAGCTCTTTAGAATTTTTTCTTTTTCCCTGTGTTTGTTGGCCAAATGAAGTGTGTCAACTTGTAATCCTACACTTTTGTGCAAAGTTGTATGTAGGAAACTCAGTCGGTCGGTCGGTCAGTGAGTTGATTGTGTGATATCGTGTGTTGATTGTGCTATAGTTGATCGACTGAGAGCCAATGATACAGTAATATCTACCCAATTGTTGTCTGATGATTGACTGTCAGTGTCATTTTTGTGCATTGTAACTTCTGCATGTTAATTTAAATGTCAACTTGATTATGTGTAAGGTTTGTTTTGTGTTTCAAGTGAATATATTGAAGCGGAAACCTGTGACTGGAGATTGCGCGAGTATTCCTACAAATAGTTGTAACAAGAAAAATGATTCTTCTGAGCAGTGGTCAGTTGAGTTCAAGAGTCCAACGCGTCCACCCATTAGGCATAGACGCATAGAGAGTTTACAAGGAGATATTTCCCCATTCTCGCCTACACACAGCAGTTTAAGTCGAACTTCAACACTGAAACCAATCAATCAAAATGGGGTTGAGCAGGTTCGTCGACGTCCTTCAGTTTTCGAAGATATCCTAAAATCAGCTGTTGACGCTGCACAGAATTGGAGTCCATCGTGTAGTCCGGCGAAGAGTGTGTCAGAGAGGGATAGTGACGGACAGGAACAGCACAAGGATAGCCCAAATGAAAGTGCTCTCAGTAGTAGTTCTTCGTCCAACGACGCACACGCTCGTCTAGTTCAACGCTTAGATTCTTTGATTTCATTGAGACACGAACGTCAAAAACTGCCCAGTTGGAGACTGAATGATAGCAGTGCAAGTTGTGATGTAGGATCATTGGATTCTTCTGGTTCATCTGAGTGTGATTTATCAGTGATGAATTTTCCTTCCCGAAAATCGTATACAATTGACTATCGGTCGTCCACCCCTGTAAGTAACGTAAGTTTGTTCGAATGTGTATTTCACTATGACTGATTTTATTCCGTTGAATTGATGCATCAAAATTGATTAGGAGCTCACGAGAGCCTTGAATTTTAGATGGCAGAGAATGAGTTTGACTTTTATTGATGTGAGTGTTCTGTGAGTAGGGGTTTTTCTTTCGTGGGAAGCTTTTCAGTGTCAGTTGTATTAGCGCAGCTTCATCACTGGATCGCTAGTGAACCAAAGGATATTGTGTTACTGAAGAGAATGTGGAAAGAGAGTTGATTTCCTTTGTAGAATAAGGTGAATCCGTAATATTTCATCAGGTGTGTGTATCCGCTACATGACTTCAGTTAAAGCGAATTTGTAGGAAATTAATCCAGTTCCCATGGTGTAAACTCAGTAAAGCCTAATTGAAATTGAATTTGTTTGATTGGAGGTTACGATGGAAAAGTGGGTGGTATTTCTCGACTAAGTAGAATGAGACTGTATGTAGAAGACAACTGATGCACGTGAGACAACTATAGTCGTAATTACTTACTGAGAGTATCAGTGTCCTACTTCTAACTTGGATTGACACTTTTAACACGCTGATTTACTGTGAAATGAATCTTGTTGACTGGAACGTCTGATCAAGTTGTGTAGTGTTAAAATAGCTTTTTGAAGCTTCCATTAGTGGGTTTTACTGTGTTGATGAATAAATAGTTCGATGTAAGTCGGCTTACCAGCTCGTAGTATGAACGCTTATTCGATGCCTTTAGGTGGTTAACACTCATTCACTAAGCGGCGGTTGTGTTGTGCAGTCGTAATGTCAGGTACATCTCGTAATCCTCCATTCACGCTGCAGAATAATGGAATCGTCCTGTCCTGTGGATGGTTAATTGAAATTAAGAAGATTTTGATTCAGAATCCTGACAGCGAATTTTTCATGTACATCTGGCTATGTGAAACACTTGTTGTGCGGACACTAGTGAGTCAGCCTACCAGCCAGCCAGCCATTGAGGCTGTAGTGAGTGGAAACGGGCTTCAAAGTCAGGAATGATTGAAGTGACTGTTACATTTGAAGTCGTAAAGCCAGCCAGGCAATGAACACTGTGAATACATTGAGTACGGTGGATGTGTTATAAAGTGATTTTTCAGTTAATTTAAGCTTGGAAACAATTCATTGTTGAAGTCATTTAGTATGTAAGATGAGTGTATAACACACAGTGATAAACGGCTAAAAACTGGCTGACATTTCTAGCACAATATGTTGTTCATGGTCATATCAGTGTATTCCCACGACTTCACAATTCGCCCACCTCATTCACCCTAATATTGACATCAGCAATCGAATTGTATGTGTGTGACTGGAAGAGATGCTAGTGTGTCTATTTTGTCAGGTAGATTTCATTATACGTTGATGTTATCTGGAGAATCACTGTAAACTGCCTATGCATTTGAGGTGTGAATTTCAGCAGTTAAACCACTCACGGATCTTCAGGTTGTACAGTGGACACAGTGACATTCTGTTAGTGTGGTTCATGTAAATTGTATTTTCCAGATCACTGTATACATTTTGTTTACCGTGTAGTGATCGCCTTCAACCATAATCTGTAGGGTGAACTCATAGTGAATATGATGATAAGATGTACTCAAAGATGACTATTTCCATATTGAGTTATTAAGATTCAAAATTGCCATTTTTTCTTTTTGTCCTATTGATGGTCAGCTGTTTTTTGTCCTCATTATAAGTCACCAATTGTTTTCTGTTGTTGTTGTTGTTGTTGTTTAATCTTAGAATTCGAAAAGTTCAAATCAGTCATCAGATCGTACACTGCAATTACTTCTGTCGTTACTACCTGCACCACCACCACCACCTGCAACGACATCATCTTTGTTGAAGAAGGAAGGCGAAGAAGGAAAGTCGAGGAAATACAGCATATCATCGTTGAACAAACGTTTAAGTAGAAATCTTCGTCGTTCTCTGTCGAATTCCTCTGATACATATCCAACATCACCTAGTCATCAGCGTGAATTTCATTCTTTGCCACATGGATATCATTCTTCCTCACCGACTGTCTGTACAAGTCGTAAATCACTTTCAGCTACGGCGTTGTTGGCTGAAACAGATGTTCGTCAATTGCTGACTCCTAAATTTTACTCACTAGTTAGGCGTAAAGCGTCAAGTATTAGTCAACTGTCAATTGAGTAGGTGAACTACAATCTGAAGCAGATGTATCCATCTTTTCTTGGTACATCAACTCTCTTTTCTCTGTCTTTCTTTGTGAACCTTTTGCTGCGCTTTTTTGCTTTATTCTCTTAATTAATAATTTTCAATGTTGCCTAATGACAACCAGTGATTCTGTGTGATTATTGAATTCATCTTACTCATTTAATGTCTCTGTTTGATTGTTTTTCTATCTGTTAGAGATTATTTAATAGATTCTTAGTGTAACTGATCGTGTGTTTTATGTGCATGCTTTAATCATCTGATTCTACAAATGTTAAGGTCTCTGTGACTATAGAGCAGCACTTTTCATCTTTCCATATTCCGTCAGCAACAAGATCAGTTCTTATGTGGTACTAGGGTGTATGAATAACCCTTGCCTGGGTGCCTGCCTACCTACCTACCTACCTATTCGACTGTTTACCATTCTATGTTAAAAGTGACATTTGCATAGAGAGAGGTGCTTTGCAGTGAAAGCGGTAGAAGTATTGCGCTATTGCCTCTTATCTTCTGGCGGCATAAGTAGTCGAAGAAGTGCTTGTAGACTGGCACTACTGATCCTCAATAACCATTTGTGCGCTGTTAGATGACTTCCACGTAACCTGTCAGTTAAATAGAATGGTAATCGAGGTGATTGGTTTCTTATTTCATATTGGGAGTGAGTGAAAAGTCTATGAAGTGAAGTAGTTGATGTGAGAGATTGATTTGATGAAGATTAGTGGGTGAGTGAGTGAGTGACTATCCCGTTGATATGGATGGTTACAAGGAGTGAATGTATCTATGTGATTGTGGATCTTGTCACCAACCGTAGATTCTTAACATCCTTAGTTGGGTACTGAGTGAGCAGTTAATAACATTCGGTATGCGAAAGATTTAAGAATAGATGAAAAATTATACTTCCATGTATTTATCTGATGGCAAAGGAACAATCAGGTTGGTATTCTCATAAAGTTCAGTTGAGGAGGCTTTATTTGCATTGCGTTGAATGGTGGAAGAAACATGACTGCTGCAACATGATCTCGAATCATGTAATAACGCAACACAGTCATCTTGAGGAGCGAACTGCCACTCCGCGAACTGCTCACCTCTTTGTGTTGTTGCATTAGTTGTTGTCCTATGAGAAATTGAACTGTGTGGTAGACGGGAGGATGGTTGATCTTTCGTATGCCTAAGCCATTGAAGTAAGTGTCTCCTGATGACCCCACTCACATATTGGACGTCGAAGTTTGAATGCACCTCGATACCTGCGGATTTCACATATATTGACACTATTAAGTTCGAGAAGTCTTACGAAGACAGCAGTGATGGAGCAGACGGAGTTGTTTCAATATGCTGAGCTCTAAAGCATCATATTTCGCAGGCCAGATGTGTACTCACCGAAAAATTGTATGTTCTAACTTTTATTGATGTCGTGATGATATCGAGTATGATAAAGATTCATGTATACCACTCTCGTATACATGACATGAAGATTATTGAGACCCAATTTCCATGAAAAAATTGTTTCAACTTCTATCGATTTCCTGAAATGACTTTCCACTTCAATGATGACAAGTAGGTAGCGAGTTCATATGAATTTTTCAACAAATGGATCAAATTTTTGAAGATTGTTCTCACATGATCGCTGTGGCCGTTTATATATACGTCACGTCAACGTGAATGATTGTTGAGTATTGCTTATATAGTGGGAATGTCGTTGCACAGTGGAGCTGCTCGATCTGCACTCACTGTCAAAAATAAATGTTTTCTAGATTGCTTAGGTCTATGCTACCGTGATATAGATTCTTCAGAGAAATGACTTTAGAATATCGTTCATGTCCTCTTTGAAGGGGATTACGGAGATAATGCTACCCTTTCTAACCGTCCGGCCTGCTTTTGCGCAGGACTTTGCCAAGTTATCAAATTATTCCGATCATGTTTCCTTTTGTGTCCGATTTGAACCTAGGGTTTCAGCTGCACATCATTTGATCCCGTTTTCTGCATGTTTCTTCAATTAGCTTGACGATTGCCCGTAATCTCTCATCACCTCGCTCTCGAACCCACAACTCGCCATTCTTGTTCCGGTTTCAGTCGCGGTTGTTTCAACCGTACTAAGTTGCTCAACGGTCTTCTCAGTGTGTTTAACCTACCTTCATTTCACTTTGCATATTTCATACTTAGGCAGTAGCTTCTTGGTTTGTTAGTCACCAGAATTCCTTGTTACTTATCGATTCTGGCCGGAGATCTGAGTTGAATCTTGCTGTCATTATCCTGGATGAGATTGGTTTCCACTGAATAAGACTTTGGTTGGTATTGGTGCCATCATGACAACTACTATCTGAGTGTGCTCGTGTTTGTTGTCTGGATGATCGGAGTATATTGATGACTGTCTAGTTGACAATTTGTAAAGTCCGTTTCCATTCTATCTGCTGTCGCGGATTCCGAGCACTTCTATGCCATATCTTATCATTTCTTTGGCAATCTGAGCAGCCTTCTGAGTTTTGAACATTGCATGTCTCCGTGCTGATTTTCAGTTTCATTGTAGGAATACACATCAAGTGACTGGCTTCTTGGAGGCTTTCATCAGCCGGTGTAGTTTCATCTCTTTGATTCCAGGGAAGAATTAATTTTTGTCTTGTTTTTTTGTGTTTTGTAGTTTCTGTTTCCTTTGGCTGATATTCTTTGTTAGAATTGCCAGCTCCATGCTGATACTGCCCTCTTTTTCCGAGCTTAGGACGGCTGATAAACCGAATTTCATATAATATGTAGATGTATATATATACGTATGATTCTCTACGCTGATCGATACCATTGTTTTCACCTCATGAATTTTCTTCGCATCTGTATTTTTCACTTCGATGCCGTGATATGGCGTGATACACGTTGCACAGGTATTGCAATTTTTCGACATTCGATCACGGAATATTCACATTGGATCATAGGAATTATCAAAAAGACGGTTACAGAGAATAAAATTTTCTTTTCAACGAAGTCGTCAACTAGGCTGTACATTCGTGTATCTATGGTACATGTATGTGAAAGTTCCAGAATTCTTTCCGGTCAAAGTTTAAGTTGATAAAATTACAAAGCGTAATAAACTGGAAGATCGGATACAGAATATAGTAAGAAAGGCAGATAGGTAGTAGTACTATTCTAGAGATATTTCAGTTCAAAGGTGAAGTGAATAAGATTAAAAAGTGTAGTGGAGACATAATAAGATCGTGATTACTGAAAAACTTGATTGTTTGCAGTAATTACGGATTACGGACGTAGTAATAACAAAATAGGTAGGAAGTTCGGATACATACACAAATAAAATTGGCAACCAAATCTAGTAATGCGGATAGGAATTGAAAGCGTAGAATTAATAGGAAGGTTGTATAAGAAAGATAATGGAGTAATCATTATTGGTGGGACTGAGTTTTCATGATGGCCACGGTAGGGACAACGGACCATCGATCAATGCTAGAATATGTCTGCGTTGTATCCGTCTTGTTAGGTGGTATAATAATATGAGTTTGTGCATCGGCGGTTCAAGATAGAATGGTGGCTCACTATGCACGTGATCTGCGTTCGATATTCTTCCGATGCAGTGATAAACCTCACCTGGTTTATTAACCAGTCTTAACTATGGAAATGGAGGATAGTTAGACCTGAGGCCTGTACCCTCACCCTGTGAAAAGAACACCATCGCCTCGAGAACCTGAAATCTTGAAGCCATATGTTCCCCTAGGAATGTAAAGGATGTTAGGGTAAAGAAAGGAAGGAATGAGATTGTGAAAATTCGTTGGTCGAAATGGTTAGGACCCATGTTATTTCTGACAAATAGTCGCCTTTCTCGCCGAGTAATTATAGTCGACATTGGGTTAGGTTGGAAAAAGTTAGGGGTTATCAGACCAGGACATTATATTAATCCATGACATCTTTGACTGATTGTTGGTTTAATTGAGGCGTAGGTTGCATGGGATGGATGGGTTAGTTGGAACAGTAAGATCCAGTGTCTGGCGGCTGTTGTTTGTATGTCTTAAAACCGTTCTCAATGACATATACATTCTCTCCTTGTGATCGGTCACACTCGAGTCCTCATTATTCTTCGTGTAATTATTCGGCATCGTGTAGAATTGCGTCTATCATAGTTCTCTTGTTCTCTGTAACAGACTTGACAGAAAAGTTGAAAAGCATGTCAACTTTCATCTTCACAGAGTTCGTGCTCCGTTTCAATGTGTTAAAAACATCAGTTGAGTCATGAAATGCAGCAAGGACCTTGTGACTGTCAGAAGAATTGATACGTTTCTCAAGCTTTCTTTGCATACTTTGTTTTCCTACCTTGATGTGTAAGTCTAAGAATTATAGTAAGTTGAACTGTTGCATGTTTGTAGGAAGTTGTATACTGGAAATTTTCTCTTTTTTCAGTTTAGCTCGAAAACGAAGTTTAGTGCAAAGAGATACTTCTCTACTTCCCTGTCTCTGCTAATCAGTCTTTTCATTAATGATAGGTGTAGTCATTATTTTGTGCTGTTTACTGGACGTAACGAAAACCAGTCAGGTTGAGTGTAATCCCTATTTGAATTGATTCAGTGTTCTTTTTGTTTGAATCAGTTCTGCAGACACATGAGGAGATAGTAATATGAAGCTGATTAGAACACTCATACTGACACCTACACACACACACACACACGAAGTGATGTCTCCTTGTCACCTGTTCAGTTTATTTTAGATTTATGTTAATCAGGTAATCAGCCACCTGTTGGTAACCATTTTTTATCTCTCTTTCTAAATATACTTTTACGATAGTTGTTATTATTGCTATTATTATTATTATCAAAGATACGCAGTTGCGTTGAACAACTTTCTAGTTTCACTGTATTTCAGTTCGATAGTTAAGTGGATGAATGAATTAAACGAATTCGTCATCTTACTCTGTTCTCTGTGGTCTTATTTAATCTGGTTCGAGGATCACCCATAAACTTTCATTTCTCTTTCATATGACCTCCGTGTCACC